GAAAATTGAAGAGGACTACGTGATTTTCACACACTTCTTTTGCAGCTTTCAGCTCTCTTCGTCTTCCTCTGGGTATTCCCAAATTTCCACAGTTTGACTCGAGTCATTTTCTCCTTTGACTGTTTCCTCGATAATGTTTACTTTGGACTTGGCTTGGATATCTAGTACTAGATATGAGGACATCCATTGCTCTCTAACTCAAGAATCTGTGCGTTGAATTAGTTATGTGCTCTGACTTCTCCACCAGTGGCGGTCGTGTGCCCCACTGTCCTTGGCTTTGGTCGTGACCCTTTGATTCTGAAGTGCCGGTGAGTGTCGTTTGCGGACCTGGAACTGGACCAGCTGGTGGACTAGGTGCATCTTTCCCTGCGGTTGATACCACTTCGCTGTAGAAAGGTGCCATGAAGTTGTGTCTGTGATTGCGATCATTGTTGAAAGGCATTGATTGTTGTGTTTGGCGGGTGCAGTCTTTTCTGAGACGAGAAGACTCTCGAGTGCTTTACCCTGAGATTGTGTGTCTGAGAGCGTGAGTGACGAGCTGTGGTTGTGAAAATTGGTCAGATAACGAGTCTGGAGGCACTATGTGATGTGTTAGGAATGAGAATCCCATATCGGAGAGGTTCGTTGACTGCTGCGTTTGGGTTCGGACGACACCCAGAAAAATTGTCAAAATTTTGGCAGCAATTGACCTCCCCCCCCCGGGGATCTATGGTACACAGCCGGTAGCAGAGCCGCTGAAGAAGAGCACAAAAGCTTGTGATTTGGCTGCACAGAATGGGCAGGGTTTTGCCTCCCCAATAAACTCAGTTTAGAGCCGCACAGATGCAAGCCAGGGTCAAAAGCTAGAAACAGGGGTCAAAAGTCACCTCCCAAGCCTGAGAAATGTCTGAGAATGTGCCTACGGTCAAGGGGTACCAGGGTCTGAGTCAACACGCAGGTGGTTAACGGGGGACCCCCAATTTCAGCTCCTGAGTAACAGGTCCAAAACTGAAATTAGGGTTTAGCCCTTAGGGGTGAAATTATATGTTTTTTTTTTGTTTTTTTTTTTTGCCTGTTTTTGTCTGTCTTCAAGGTTGTTGTGTACCAAATTTGGTCTCATTTGGAGCATTGGAACTTCCTCCTAATAAGACCATTTCCAAAAACACTGAAAATTCTGAAAATTCGCTGAATCCAAAATGTCATTCGAGTGCACTTTCGCCTTACTGTTTCACCCTGTTTTTATTTTTTTTTGTCGTTTTTTTTTAATGGTTGGGTAATATGGTGTGCACTCTATGGAATGATGCAATTTTTGGTTAAAAAGGGGCTTCTGCTTTTCTTATAAAAAGCATTAAAAAAACGCTCAAATTTTGGGTCTCCGTCTACATGACACCCGCGGCCTAGGCCGCGGGCAATTCGGCCCCCGCAATGAGGCCCTGTCCACGGCCTGTTTTTTAAAAAAAAAATTCGATCAAATTTTGGGTCTCCATCTACATGACACCCACGGCCTAGGCCGCGGGCAATTCGACCACCGCAATGAGGCCCTCTCCGCAGCCTGTTTTTTTAATATTTTTTTTATACCCCTAAAAATACATAAAAAACAATTAAAAAAAAATAGGGCTGTAGGGCTTGCAAAACCCTACAATCCTACATTTGTTTTTTGGAATCCGACCTCGTTTAGGATTTTTTTAAAATGAAAAACGAAAATTGATTTAAACAAACTATTTAAAAAAAACTGAACAGAAAACAGGAATTTTTTTTTGTAATTTTTTTTCATGAGGGACATGGTCGCTGAGTTGTCCTGTATTTTTTGAGAAATGCTTTCCGGGTTTGTGTCGGGAAATTGGGTGTTCAAAAAAAAAAATAAAAAAAAATGAAAACAAATAAAGAAAAAAAGGGGTCACGCTGGGGTTGGTGTGTGTGTGTGTGTGTGTGTGTGTGTGTGTGTGTGTGTGTGTGT